AATTTCTGGAGCGAGAGGATCGAGAAGAGTGTGCGGTGCGCGTGGTTGAGGTGGATCTGTGAGATCTGGTCTCCAGTAGATGAGCTATGCAGAGTTCTGCCTTAAGCTTAGCATTTTGCACTTCAAGATCCCTTTGTCGGTTTAGTGCATTGGTCCTGGTCAGTTCTGCTGAAGAATCCTCTATATTAGAGTCCTGCAAGAAGGCTGAGTATTTTACAGACAACCACTTATAGCGTTCATATGCGGCACATAGGCGATTTACAGAGTCTCTTAATTCAGCTGGTTGATCAGTGAAATTTGCCAAAACTGACATGCAGTGTGAGGTTCTGTCCCAGAGGTCTGACAGATTACTGGAGAACTCATCTCTAGTTGCTTCATAGTTTTCTCTGAGTTTCTGTGTCGGTTTTATTATACGTTTGGCTTTTACACTTTGTTCTGTAATATCTGCTAGATCTGTTCCCTGTGCACCTTCTGGTTCAGAGGCATGATGTATCTGTATTGTTTCTGCCATAAAAGAGTGTTCAGAGCATTGGCTAGACATTTTATATTGTTTTGCAGAAAATGGTACTATCTCTTTAAGAAACCACACAGCAGCTTAGACGGGTAACACAGTTCAGTGTAGAGAAACAGCTTCAATGTTCACATGAAGTGCAGTTAGAATGCAGTAAGAACAGATCATATGCAGTGCAGTGAGCTTCAGCCACCATGCGCTTCACAAGATGGTGGATGGGACTGAGCTAGATTGTAAATGATGCTCTCACATATACACAGCAGCTGCAGGAATTCTATGCATCTTTTGACTATTCTGACTCGGATTGTTGTGATAGTGATCTAACCCCTTGTGAGACCTCTGTGCCTGGCCTGTATAAGCAGGTACAGTCACTGCGGACAATCCTCCTCAGATAGCTGAACTCACCAATACTGGTTTCATTCAAAAGCTGAACATCACACAACAGGAATACAGCAGAATGAATGGATTTCAGTATTATGCGGTCAAAAGATGATGCTTTCCTTAGCTTAGCATGTGGGATACAAGAGTCCCAGTTACATGAGGTAAATGCAAGCAGCCATGACACAGGAAGTACAGCAAGAACAGGGGCGGAGTTTACATACAAGGAAAAGATGTATGATGCTCACAGGAGGAACAAGGGCATTACCAAAAAGGGCCAAAAGGAGGCAGCAAAAATACAAGGTAAATAAATCCCAGAATATGCTATGTAAATTGCATCTACAATAATGAGAATATTAACTGTGTAACAGCACAACACATATTCACACTGTCATATGGACACTGTATCAGACACACACACACACACATACACTCTCTCTCTCTCTCTCTCTCTCTCTCACTGTCACATACACGCAGTCCTTGCTGTCATGAACACTGGGAGGAGGAAAGGAGGCCCTTGTGTCTAGTGGGAGGCAGGCATTCCTTTCTGCTTCCCCTCTGTGCAGCCGTGGCTCTGGACTTGGTGATGGCCTCTTAAACAATTATCTCTATAAACCCATTTGCATGAATTATTTTTTTATGCAAAGCTTCTATGTAAAATAGTTTTCCTTATTTCAGTCTGCTGTATATGTACAGTGATGTATGCACCCCATACACAAATACACATACATATAAATCCACAGATCATATCTCATACATGTGCACACTGTCACATACAGAGGCACATACCAATATACACAGTCACATACATACATACCGGGTTATTCACAAAAAATGAGAATTGTCAGGAATTCATAGTGGATTTCAAAGTGGATGACAGAATAGTCAAACTGGAAGCATTGTATTCCTGACAATTGTTTTAGTGAATAACCTTGTCAGACATGAATTAACACACACCATCACAATCATCACAGATACACATCATCATGGACACAGACATACCAAAACACAGTCACAGACATACACGCATTAACACAGTTACAAACATTCATAAAAAAAACACAGAGGCACATACATTAAAAGACACACAAAGTCCCATACATAGACACACAACACAGTCACATAGACATAGGCTTATGTATAGCAGGTTGGTTGGTAGGTTAACTGAATTGATGTTCATGTGTGGTTATGTGACAGGGTAGGTAGGTAGTTACTCAGCAGAGTATTGCTGGTGTAACACCACCTACACTCAGCAGCTCCTTTGCCAGATACATACTGGGTGAGTTTCTAAGTAAAGGGAGGTTTTCAAGGCTGCATTCTAAAGCAGCCACTCACTCTCCTGAGTCCTACTGTTGTAGAATTATTAGGCCTCTATAAATTTGTAAGGCCCCTTTAAATCCTCTTGCTATACCTCTAAGAGGCCCCCATAGTTTTACAAGGAAGCTTTGTCTATAGAACATAGAATTTGCATGTCAGCAAGAAATAGCTTTGATAAAATGTGTATTTACTAAAATCCTTGAAACTTAACCTTGAGAAACTAACAAGTGCCAGCTACGCTCCAAATGGATAGCTGCCAAAAGGCCCCTCCCGTCGAGTGAGCTCCTCATTTTAGCAAGATGGCGCTAAAACCTGTAGGAGTTAAGAAATTACGTAGATAGTGACCTAAGAATGGGGAGGGCATTTTACTAACATCTTAGCACCTAAGCCAATTAACAATGTCTATTTGTCTATATCTTGATTTTCTTCAATGATGTAATAATGCCTTTATAAGGGTCTGCGCACCCATTTTCTGTCAGAAGCCATTAAACTTCTCTGAAGTTCTTTCATTACCCTGAACCTTGTGTCTCAGTGTGAATTTACTTCTGCGTGCACGCAACTTTATTATCTTTAATTTGGACAGGAACAGATAGTCATTCAAACTAATTGGTTTGCAGTAAATCATCTAGAACAATTGGCGCTCTCAACGTGGGGCTCTGGGCTATGTCCAGTCTGGGCAGCTGTCCAAGAAGACGCTGGGGGGGCTGAATCCTGGGGGAAGGAAAAGAGCCTGATCACCTCTGAATACACGGTAGAGATTGCTGCAGCACCTAGCCGGTATGTTCCTACCCCTGTGATTGACCTGCCCCAGTGTCTGTGACTGCTGCCGAGAGGACATCAAAGTCAGGTAATAACTTGCCCAGAGTCTTTGTATTGTTAATGATACCTAGTTTACCTGCATGTTGACTATCTGTTGCCTGGGTGTGTTTGTATTGGTATGTGTTTAACTTAGTACCCGGGGAGTGTAAGTGCCTGTTTAACCCCTTTTAGGTACCACATACCTGTGGTAGTAAGGAAAAAGGGGGGTGGACCTGTGGAAGTTTTCCTGGGGGTCCTCTATTGCCTGTTTAACTCTTTTAGGAGCCACGTGGCTGTGGCTGTAAGGAAAAAGAGTAGGGGGGATCTGTGGAGGGCAGTAGACTCACTGCTTCCTGGGGATCCCCAGAGTGTCATTTTGACCGCTTAGCTAGCCTCATCAGACACTTCTTCTTGGTAAAATTCCAGTCTCAAGCGCTGAGACAGGTAAGATTCCAATTCTTTAGGCTATACAGGATTCGGGTTGGAAGCTGTTGCTGTTTCCTGTGGCTGCTGGTAGTGAGACTTGCGGGTGGGTCCGCAACAGGGACACTACGAGGTTGAGGGAGGTGGCTTTTGGCCACACGAGTAAAGGCAAGGGATAACACTGTTGAACTTATTTGAACTGTGATGCATGCACTGTATTTACACTGAAATGTTATTGTCTTAATTGTCTGTCACACAGATTCCTGTGTTTACTTCTATCTTACTCACTGTACTATTTACACTTTCCCCTCCTATTTCTCTTTCTCTTTGTTGAGAGAAGTGATTGGTCACACACTTCTCGCCACGCTCCAATCCGCGGCTACCACGGGTAGGCGGAATCAGTGACTAGTCTACGTTTTGGGAAGACGTACTTAAAGAGCTTGCTCTTAAAGTAGCAGTCGAGCACGGTAGACGTTCTGTTCCTTTCTCTCTCTATGTCTGGGACGCCTTATATAGGGAGGATGGGACAGAAGTTAGATAAACCCAGTAAGGGTTGGTTAGCATGTGATCTAGTGGAAGACAGAGAAGGAGAAGAGATGGTTAAGAAAGTGAGTAAGATTGCTAAAGTATGTGGAATTACCGTACCTCTGTGCGGCAGATTGTAGCCAGAGAGCTGGCGTAAGTTACTGACAGAAGAAAGGGAAGCTGTCGGACCAAGATTTGGTTTGTACAGCAGAAGCCTGGTACCGAGTAGCAAGAGCTATTCAGCAAAAGGGATAGGTTGAGGAAGATATTGATCACAAAGGTTTAAGATTGTATGTATATCATAATAATTGTGTTACTGGGAAGTTATCCCAGCAGTGCCCTGTCCAGGAGGTGACCACTTCCATCATCCTGTCAGTAATGACCGAAATGTAGCTGACCATGGTCACCATCCCACCCCAATCTTAAAACGCTGTGGGGTTTTGTATTTTGTGTTAGCCATTACCCTGGTAGAGGGTGGGGGTATAAATGAAATGTTGTGTTTTTGTGTCTCTTTGCTTTGTAATGTAATTGTCCTTCTGTCTTGTTACTGTACAGCGTTGACATGGTTAAATTCGTGCTGGCAGGCGGTCTCTCTCTTGTTCCACTCAAATCCCCCTCTGCTAAAACACCCCCCCCCTCCCCTCGCTTCTGTGAGACGCGGGGGGGGGAGGGGGCGGAGGGGGGTGGTGACATGCTTGCGATTTAGGTCTGTCTCTTCGGTGTTCTGTAGAGTTATTCAGAAGCTACTGATAAGAGTATAAGGTACTGAGGATTGTGGGAGTGACGAGCTCACAAGATTGCATTCAGTGTTGAATACGGGATTTAGGAAGGTGTAGAGGGAATATGCGATGTTGTTAAGTCAGTATAAGAGGAGGAAAGTGATTAATGGTTTGAGGAAGATAAGGGAATTTGGTTGAATTCCGCGAGTTTATTTTGCATCATTTTATTATTTTAAAGTTATTTTAAAGTACATGTTTCTAGAAACAGCTGTATGGGCTGTTAAATGCATAATGTTCTCAACTGTCTTATTTAACCTGCCAGGTCTGTTCATAGTTTAGTATTTCATTTTGCAGAACGGAATGTTGCTTCTCTGACTTATTTTAATAGTTATAATATAGTGTATTGTTGAAGGTGACGTCACTTCCGCCCTTACCATGCCCACACCTCCTGTCTTCCTTTCCCACACCTATCATGGACGTCATCTCACTTCCTCCCTTGCTGTCATTTCCTTCCCCGCCCCTGTCATGGCTGCCTCCATCATGAGGCCTACCCCTATTATGCTCGTCCCATTTAGATAATTACTGGAACAATCATGCCATTTGTTTCCCTGTATCAACAATTTGTCCGTGATATAAAAAAAAAAAAAGAAGGTTGCTAAAATGTAATTTGCAACTGTGGTGTGATCTACAAATGAAATCTGTTGGACACGAATATAAGAGCATAACAGCTGATTATCCAGATTAATCTTGCAACAAGGGAAATAGCCAAATAATGCAAGTTATTTTAAACATTGTATCTTTACTCAATCGAATCTTGCTAGTTACAGATCTTATGTTTACAGTAACATCCTTTACTTTAAATGATGGTTTAGCATTAGAAGGATTAGTGACATGTTTTATTAACCCAGCCACTACTGGTTGTTTATTTTAGTTACAGGGTGGTATAATTGTTATAGTCTATTTAATATAAATGATAGTACCGCAATAGTTAATGTTTTATCCAAAGACATATAGGAACTTTACTTAACTTACTATTAACCATTATTTATAATGATAGACATGTTCAGACTGCAAAAAAGCTATGGCTAATGACATAGAAAGGGGTTTGAGTCAGTAACACAGCCCATACAGAGGAGAGCAAACCCGCTGATGCTTAATGCCCCTGCCATGGCAGTGTCTACAGGGAACAAGGGGGGCCACTAGCCACTGTAACTTTACCTATTGAAGGTCACCCTACTACTTTCCTGGTTTCCTGGTTAACACAGGTGCATCCCGCAGTGTTCCTAGAGAACAAGACCTGCCTGACTCATCGTTCCTGCCTGACACCGATGTCTCTTGTGTTGGTGCTGATGTCCTATCCTGCCTCCAAGCATCCATCACCCTCACTGCAGACGGCCAGGTTCAATTAAATACACCTTTGTCACGAAAAGACACTACAGTTCTTTGTTCCCTTCCCATTTTACTGTGGAGATGATCTACCCACAACAGAACAATGCTCAATTAATCTTCTTTGCTACCTAGCAGAACAAGGATGTAAAGCTTCACGTCTCAAGCTGCAATTCTGCCAATCTACTGTTATCTTCCTTGGCCATTGTCTGTCTCAGGGAACCAGACATCTCACTCGTGACCGAGTTAGAGCAGTACTGGACATTCCACCTCCAAGGATCTCAAAGTCACTACACGCCTTCCTAGGCCTCATTTCCTATTGCCGAGCATGGATCCCAGAAGCCTCGCTCCTTATGCAACCTCTTTATGATGCTCTCAAGTCAGACCCATTTTGCTTGTCCACAGAAGCCCTTGACAACTTCTGTTCTCTCAAGCGTGCTATTGCTTCTGCTCCTGCTCTTGGCCTACCAGACTATACCAAACCCTTCAAATTGTTTGTTTCTGAAAGACAAGGCCATGCAACAGGAGTACTCACTCAGGCCCATGGTCCTGGAGGCCGCCAAAGGCCTATTGGATTTTTCTCCTGCCAACTGGATATTGTGGCCAGAGGACGTCCCTCTTGCCTTCGGGCCGTCTTTGCTGCCAGAGAGCTCATTGAAAGAACTGGGGATCTTGTCCTTGGCCACCCCCTGGTTGTCTTGGCCCCTCATGACATTTCTGCCATAGTCAACCAGGTCCAACTTAAGCATGTTACTCCTGCTAGGCATCTTCGCCTTCAATGTCATCTTTTGTTGCCTGACAACATTACCCTCCAAAGATGTCAAGTTCTCAATCCGTCCACTCTTCTGCCACTCCCTGAGGGGGGTGTATACTACGGATTCATCATGGACGAAACTTATGTTTTTCTTCTCACTGGCACCATCAAGAAGGAAATGCATCCCAACCTATCCTTTCATGATGGACAAGCACTCCTTCATGACGGAGCAGGATATGCCTTCTGTACCATGTGGTACAAACCAAACATCACTCCTGAACCCTGCTATGAAGATGAACTCTATAAGCTGGTTGAAGTAAAACTCACTGCACAAGACTTCTACTGTGATTCTGAAGGCAACAGTATGGTCTTGATTCATCTACCTCCGGAACTCAAGCATTTGTACCGTCATTGGGACACTGCCATTCCACATGTCCCTGTGACCAAGTTGAAAACAATATCATGGAATGATCTTGGGCCTATGGCAAAAGCATGGGCCACTATGGACGAATCACAGCTACAGGAAAATGGTGTTGTCAAATATCCAACAACTGACCCTAAAAGCATGGCCACGTCATTTCCTGGAAAATAAGTTCCAAGATTTAACCATAGTGAATGAATACGACCCAGATACACCTCATGACTGTTTTGAACAGATGAAAATGGAAACAACACATCTACCAACTGTGCATGAAGACCCATTGGTAGATCCCGATCTCACCCTGTTTGTGGACGGCTCAAGATATGCTGATGAAGAAGGAAGATACCATACAGGATATGCCGTAACCACAACAGATGAAATTGTCAAATCATCATCTTTACCATCAACTATGTCTGCACAAGAAGCTGAATTGCAAGCCCTGACTTCAGCATGCAAGATCTCTGAAGGAAAGCGCGCCAATATCTACACGGATTCAAGATATGCACTGGGCGTGGCTCACGACTTCGGATTAATTTGGAAAACAAGAGGATTTCTTACCACCACCGGTACACCAATCAAGCACGGTTCCGCAATCAAGGAGCTGATGGACGCCCTCCTACTCCCAGAAGAAGTGGCTATTTTGAAGATAAAAGCACATGGGAAGTTGGACTCAGATGAAGCAAAGGGCAACCATCTAGCTGATCAGGCTGCAAAACAAGCTGCAAAAGAACCACAGGAAGTGGAAAGAAGAGTGTCCGGAAATGAAGAAACTCCCATATTTACTCTGCAGACTCTTCCAACTGACCTGAAAATCCTGCTGGAACAACAGGCTACAGTTGCCCCTGAAGAAATACAGAAGTGGAAACAGAAAGGGGCAGTTCTGAAGGATGGAGTGTACTCCAACAACCTCAATTTCTGCCTCCCTAAGAATTTGTACCCAGCAGTCGTACAATGGGCACACAGACCTGCACATTTATCAAAAGATCTAATGAATGCTCTTGTACAAAAATACTACCTCATTGTCCCCATACGAGATTCTATTTGGGACTGCACCTAGGCTAGGTTGCTATTTTCCCCAACAACTACAACTTCAAACTGATGTTTTAGTAGATTATGTAACTGAACTCGCAAATGCTTTGAACAAAATCCATGTCCAAGTTTTCTCTAAAATTCCAGATCCTGATTCTGACACAGGCAACCACAGTCTGCTCCCCGGTGACTGGGTTCTGGTCAAGAAATTTGTGCGAAAACATACCCTGGAACCAAGATTTGACGGACCGTTCCAAGTTCTCCTGATCTCCCCTACCTCTGTCAAATTGGCCGGAAGGCCTAACTGGATCCACGCTTCCCACTGCAAGAAGACACCTGCCCCAGAGGAAGCTAACTCTATGCAACCATGTGCCTCTGGTACATTATCTCCTTAGTTGGCCTTCCTTAAAGCCCAGCAGGTGGCCATCACCAAAGATGCTAGTGGGTACACCTTCTGGTATAATTCATCATGTACCCATGTGGCTACATTCACTTTTGATTACTGTGATATTGTAGAGTGCCCATTCCCTAAGTCACAGATTCAAGCCATTTATAAAGATATACCACAAGCAAAAGACCCTTACGTTTGTGCAGTAGATGAACAATGGGGTTGTGACTGTAACTACTGGGGGGCTGCGGGATGGAATACTGGGCCTGCCTGGGGTTATAAACCCAAAAGTGCTTTATCTAAGATAGACAATCAGGGTAGATCCCTCCTTCAAAGAATGACTTTAAGAAAGCCTGGAGGAAGTACCCCTATGAAATTAATGTTAAATATTGAACATCCTGGCCCTGAGGATGCAGACCGATATGTAATGGGAATGTATTGGAAGAAAGGTTCCTACAACAAATTAGGTCATTTCTACCTCAGAGATATGTACCACTCTCCAGAGTGGCAAGGGGCTGATCATATGGTCCCAAATCCGCTAAAACCACATATCCAGTCCTTTAAAGATATGATGGCCATCGCTAACCCCACTTTTGAAGATACCATGGCCGCTGAAACTGGATTCAATGACATTAATTTGTGGTTAGAATGGATGAGGTATAATGCTAACAAACATAATAAAACAGCATGTTATGTATGTGGCGGTGCCCGACCCCACCTTGGCACCGTCCCCCTAACTCTCCCTTTAGAGATAGAAGATTGCTTCTTAAGCCTTTTTACCTACCAATATGACTTTAATAGGTCCCTCTGCATGGCATGGACGGCAGAATACCCTCTCTTAGTTGAAAATGTTAAGCCACCAGATGGAGTCACAGTCTATAGAGGTAATTACACTTGTTATGCCATGTATGACGGGATTGGTAAATTCATGGGTAACTTTTCTAAAGGTTATTGCGCCACTTACAGAACTGTTCCTATACGCCTGTTGCAACACCATACCAGGTCATTGGGGGATATTTACTGGTTATGTGGGGATCTACAGTTAAGATCTAGGCTGGAAACTGAGTGGTGGGGTGAGTGTACCCTGGCCAAAGTTATCATGCCCATTCATATTATTTCTGATAATCATCATGACACATACGACCCTCCACATACATCAGCCAGAGTAAGGCGCGAAACCCCAGTAAAAGGCAGTTTTGACCCCCACATTTACATAGATGCCATTGGGGTGCCTAGGGGGGTACCTAATGAATTTAAAGCTAGAGATGAAGTAGCTGTAGGTTTTGAATCACTTTTTACCATAGTCACTGCCAACAAAAACCTTAATTGGATTAATTCTATCTATTACAACCAACAGCGCTTCGTGAACTACACCAGGGATGCCCTCCAGGGCTTGGCCGAGCAATTACAGGCCACATCCCAAATGACCTTCCAGAACAGACTGGCCTTAGACATGATCTTAGCCGAAAAAGGGGGAGTCTGTAAAATACTTCCCGACACTATGACTTGTTGCACTTACATTCCAGAAAACACAGGTCCTAATGGTAAAGTCACTCTAGCCATAGCTAAATTAAATAGACTCTCAGAAGAGTTAAAGAGAAACTCTGGAGTTACTGATCCCTGGGAAAAATGGTTTGGTTGGATGACTGGTTGGCAGAGAGCTTTAGTCCAGATTGGTATTGCCTTACTAATTTTTCTTTTTTATTCTCGCTCTTCTCATTTGTTGTGTCCTCCCATGCCTAAGGAAATTCCTGCAGAAAACTGTAGACCAAGCAACACCAACCTTCACTCATCTGACAATCGATGATCAAGACCTCATCTCACCCTGTATTCCGCTACAAACTCTCCCTTATACTGATGAAGTGCAGAAAGTCTAGGAAGGGACAGTACAGGGACAGCGTCCGTCTTTATGGGTAGACTGCCGTACGGAGAAGTAGTGGATAAGCCACTATGGGTTACCAGCGGAGTGAAGAGTGTTCCTGAACCGTACTGACGGATGTGCTGCAGCCTGTTAGGGTCAAGAGAGGGATAGACTTGCACTTTGCATTAACACTAAGTCAGCGGTCATGGGGTTTCTGTGTCTTTGGGCTAATACTTCTTCTGATACTAACAAATAAAGTTTTGTCTTTTAGCAAATAACATTTTAGGGGGGACTGTTGTAGAATTATTAGGCCTCTATAAATTTGTAAGGCCCCTTTAAATCCTCTTGCTATACCTCTAAGAGGCCCCCATAGTTTTACAAGGAAGCTTTGTCTATAGAACATAGAATTTGCATGTCAGCAAGAAATAGCTTTGATAAAATGTGTATTTACTAAAATCCTTGAAACTTAACCTTGAGAAACTAACAAGTGCCAGCTACGCTCCAAATGGATAGCTGCCAAAAGGCCCCTCCCGTCGAGTGAGCTCCTCATTTTAGCAAGATGGCGCTAAAACCTGTAGGAGTTAAGAAATTACGTAGATAGTGACCTAAGAATGGGGAGGGCATTTTACTAACATCTTAGCACCTAAGCCAATTAACAATGTCTATTTGTCTATATCTTGATTTTCTTCAATGATGTAATAATGCCTTTATAAGGGTCTGCGCACCCATTTTCTGTCAGAAGCCATTAAACTTCTCTGAAGTTCTTTCATTACCCTGAACCTTGTGTCTCAGTGTGAATTTACTTCTGCGTGCACGCAACTTTATTATCTTTAATTTGGACAGGAACAGATAGTCATTCAAACTAATTGGTTTGCAGTAAATCATCTAGAACACTACCGTGTTCCAAGCTGTGCCACTCTTCCCTGCAGCGCACCCCTCACACTAGTGTTTGGTCACAAATTACCCTGGTCCAGTGGTATCCTATATCCGTTCCCTGGCAGTCCGGTGGTGAATAGCAGGAAGCGCATGTCCAGATCATAATACCCACTCCTTCACGGCTCTGGCTTTCAACGTTGTCAGAGCGAAGGCTGAGAATCTCTGACTCACTAACGGAGTGCCAGAACCACGAGGGAGAGGATATGATCTAAATGCACCTATTGCCGGTGCGCACCAGTGGACCACCAGGGAATCGTTTAAATTTAATATGCTGGTGTCCCCTACTTGCGAGCTGTGTTGACCGGCGGGTGCCTCTGTTGTCATGGCGCCCTGCGTAACCGCACAGCTTGCACACCCCAAAGACTGGTCCTGCTGACAGACACACTGGCACTCACGCTCAATAACACACACACACAAACCCTGACAGACAACCACTTACTTGACAGACACACTCACTGATACACACAGAAACACTGACATATACACACACACTCACTGACAGATACATTTACTGATAAACACACTCACTGACAGTCACATTTATTGACATACACACACACTGACAGACACACATTGACTGACAGATACATTTACTGACAGACACATATACTGACAAACACAAACACTGACAGACACACAGACTCACTGACATACATTTACTGACAGACACACACACTCACTGACAGATACATTTACTGACAAAAACACACACACTTACACAGTCTTACACACACACTCACAAATTAATTGTATTGTTTGTTGCTCCTACCATTATGAGTGTTCTGGGTTCTCTCCCCGGGGTCCAGTGACTTTCATGATCTTCCTGCTCCTCTCTCCTCCCTCACAATGTTTAGTGATTCGGGGCCGGAATTACATCATATTCTGGCCCCTGGCATCACCAGAGGGTGCACAAGGGAGCAGGAAGATCATTAGCACAGGCAGTGCTCCCTCGCCGCCGCCTGCCTCAGACGGCCGGTATACTGCTGCAGAGTAGGCAACTGCCGTCTGGGATAAGCAGGGGCCTACTCTGCCTTGCTACATAACCGCGTTCCGGGGGCACCCTTAGGTGGCCAATTGGCCACCTGCTGGGCTCCCAGTGACAGGCCACTGTCCTGTTCTGCACGGACGTGCACCCACCCAGGATCTGCCCTGTCGGATGGTTTATTTAAATAGTGCATTGTGAGAAATTAACAAGGGAACTGAAAAAAATAAATTTATGAAAAGAAAAACTATTTTTTTTTTCAAATTGACAATTTTGTGTCCAGTTTTCATGTCACGGTGCACCCCGAGCCCTGCAGACAGCAAGACATGACTGCCCCTTTATGAGACCTAGCTGGGTTTGAACTCACAGATCCACAATCCAAATCAGGTTCTCTACCTTGCAGTCCACTAGGGGGGTTCAGCATCTGCTCTGATTTGTCTGCTGTCTGATTCCTTTAACTGTATTCCCTACCACTCCGCAGCGGTGTGTAGAAGTGTCCGCTGGTGTCTTTCTCTTCCAGCGGACAGATCAGGTAACGTGTACCATGCTGCTCCAGGATTCTATTTAAACTCTTAGAATCCTGTGCACGCTAATATGATTTACCTGGAAGCAGTGTGGAGGTCAGTGGGTATACAAACGGACATAGCGTTCCGCCTACATAGGGGATTTGTCTCACCTGACCACTGGTTACCCTGTCTCCTTAGACCCCATCCTCATTGGAGAGCCCTTATTCCCATTCCATTATAAAAGCACAGTACACCCTTGGTTCTGTGCTCAGTTGTTTTGTTCATCCCTAGGAGTAAAGAGACATCTCCTAAGGCATATTGCATAACTTGGTTTATGGAAAACCGTTGCTGTGTATCCTGTGTTCATGTTTCCTGCTGATTCCCCTTTAAAAGGACTTTTGCATATTTGACCTGCATTTGATTAACCCTTGCTACACTGATTCTACTTTGGACTGCCTTACCTAGTGAAGTAACTCTGATAAAGGACTGTATATTCTTTAAAGACATTTATTTGCACATTGAAATAATTACTTTACTGTTCCTTTATTTTCTGCACATGAAACTTGCATTTACGTTACAAATAAAAGACCTGTCAATTTGGTGACTGTGCTCGCCTCCATCCTGAGCCCATTCACCATTTACTGAATAAAGGTGAATTGATACTTGGCCAAGAATTTTTTTCTATTTTCTGATTATACTAGTAAAAAAAATAGCAAAAGAAGGTAAGAGTTGAGCAAGATTTCAATTGTCTGAAATGAAATGCTGAACACGGTTTTCCTGGCACTATAGTGGTCCTTTAAGCATTACATTTCTCTTACTTTTATTTTTGTTTTTTTCTTGCAACTTATTCATTTGACCTCTTGCTAATCTGCCAATATTTATCATTTCTCACCCTCTACCACTAACAGAGCTGTATGTTCTCATCACAAGGTCTTTCTCTGCATTTTTTCTATTTTTTATCAGCCCCCCTTCTACTACTGCTGAACAGGCATTGCATGTTCGCAGCTGGCACATATTACTTGCACAAGGGCATCACAAGTTCAGCCTGCAGGTTCGTCAGAAGAAAAGTGCCTGCTAGGAGTCGAGGCACATCTGAGCCACACAGTATGAGTCAAGACAAAGAGAAAAGAAATAAAAATAAATTTCATAAAGGAAAAATATTTTGCTCTTTATTTTGTAAAGATTATCAAAGTTAACAAGTCACTTTGAGTGATACACGATTTTGCCTTGGTGTTACTGATCATCCTACCCTATCATACAGTGTCAGACGGTAAAATGTATGATCATTTTGTTAACTGCACTCGTGATGCAGTTTTGAGGACTTTCAGGGTGTCACAGGCTCTCTAGGCTATTGTCGCCCTTCTTTCGATCCTCTACTGGTCCTAGTTCCAGATGTGTGATGGCTCTATTAATTTGTGCAGAGTTTCCCCAATATAATGGACGCAACCAGTCGTATTGAGTAGAAGATGAACGGTTTAATTAAGGCCAAGTTGCCTGCTTATATACACAGGTCTCCATACAATACGATTTTAACCCCGCCTAGGCGTCTCTGTCTGGGACATACATACATGTACTTTTAAACTAATTATCCCCCAGTCACAAGAGGTACACTATATTATGAAAAAACATCCCAAAATACATATAAGACAGATAGGAACCACCACAAGTATGGTATCCCCAGGTGGCCTGGATCGGAGAGCCCAAGTTGTCCAAACAGCGCTCAGATCCATGAAGTATAGCCGAATAGCCACCGGGGTCAAGTTTTGATCAACCACAGCTGTTGCGGGAATAGTTCCATTAAAAAAAAAAAGAAAGAAAAAAAGCGGTAGCAGCCGGTCAACTTTCGGGAGTTCCTATACGCCTGTAACTGAAGGCTCCCTCTGGCTCGTAGGGAGCGAATGGTCTCACTGTACAGAAGTCTTTTTCCCAAACAGCGATTTCCTGGCTTGTCTGGGAACAGAACAGGCAGTGGTGTGATTTTCCCGGTGTTCGCGACACAAAGTGTCCGAAATATAGTTCCACACACTCAATCACCAAGTACCGCTGCCTGTGTTCGGGAGACAAGATGGCCACCATTCACTAGAGGACGTATTTCAGTTTTATGAATGGTGGCCATCCAGAGAGAGCACTTGAGTTAAAGGTTTTATGTGAAATTAACGAGTCAGGAGGGTGGTCTGTGTTCGGTAGTTTAAGAGTACCGAACTCAAGAGAATAGGTGGGTTTGATAATTTAAGGAGAGTTACATAAGGGCCAGATATGATAAGTCCTGGCTTCTTTGACACAGGGCAACTTCATAGTGAACGCTGCAGCAGCAGGGCCAGATTAAGAGCCCAGTGGGCCTGGTGCTGACAATTATGATGGGGCCTAATTACAGAATCTTATCGACCTAAAACACTAAAACAGTCATACCTCTCAAATGTCATGTATCTGATGGAGTTGGTGTTGGAGGGGAAACTCAAAGGATGCAGCTATAAGAAAACACATACTCTATGCTAATCTCTTTATCCAATTTATGCTTTCATCTTTCAAGTAAATCCATACCCCCTAACAGAAGTGTCCAGTGAAGGAGGAAGTCAATGGGCGGAGCAAAAGGATGGGCCACTGACGCGAATCACGTGACCAGAACTGCCAAAAGGGGCGAACATGCCCAAAAAGCGGGCATGTTTGTCCAAAGAATTAGAAATCCAGCCTGGCATCAGTGTCCCTATGTATCACAGTGTCAGTGTCCCCATGTCGCCCAGTCCCCTAGTCTCCCAGTGTCTGTGTCCTCATTTCTTCCAGTGTCCCCATGTCTCAGTGTGTCCTGTGTCACTAGGATACAAGGGAGGACACAGAGACCTGGGGACACAGTGAGACGGGGGCAACGAAACACCTGGGGACACGGCGGCGCTTGTGAATACAGACATGGGAACACTGGGACACAGAGAAATGGGGTCACAGACACTAGGGACACAGACATGGGAACACAGACATTTGGGGAAACTTAGACACTAGGGACACAGAGACATGGGAACACAGACACTGTGAGACTAGGGGACACTGGGAGACATGGGGACACAGACACTAGGGACACTGGCTGGGAGGCATGGGGACACAGACACTTGGGGGCACTTGTGGACAGACATGGGGACACTGGGAGACATAGGGACAGACATTTGGAGACACTGAGAGACATGGGGACACAGACACTAGGGACACTGGCAGACATGGGGACACAGACACTGGCTGGGAGATATGTGGACCCTGGGAGCCATGGGGACAGACATTTGGGGACACTGGGAGCCATGGGAACACAGACACTAGGGACACTGGCTGGGAGACATGGGGCCACTGGGAGACATGGTGTCCCTAGTGTCTCACAGCGTCCCCATGTGTCTCAGCATCCCCATGTTTCCCAGTGTGCCCAAGTGTCTCAGTGTCGACATGTCGCCTTTCCCCCCATCCTTCACATACCTGAGCTGTAGTCTGTCTCTGCAGGCTGGGAGCTGCCCGCAGATCAGTGAGTAGAGAGAGGCAGGGAGATGCTGTAACTTCCTATCCCTGCCTCTCCATACACAGTGACCCCTACTGGCTAGTGCTGGTATTGCAGAGCAATCTCTGTTTATACTGAGAAAAATATTTGCATTTGTATTGCCGGTATTACTGCAATACCGTTACGGCCAGGCAGCCTCAAATACCTCAAATAAGAAAAGTGTAAAAAAAAAAAAAAATAAGCAGTCCTCTTTACAATCCCACTAACAGCTCCTTCTCCAGATATTCGAATTGACAAATTTGGCAGGTCAGGAATATGAGGCCTGTCAAATATGATTCAATATTTTCCCTTATAAGCTGTGCATGTATATTAGGTCGCCCCTCTGCACTGATGTTTTATTGTATGTATTAAGGCTGATGTGTACTTTAGTCATTGCTGCCATCCAGGTGTAGTGGGAGTTTGAGCACAGGGCTTGATTTTGTATTACAGTCATGTTACAGTGCAGGTGCCGCCCACCCAATGTGGGCCCTATTAGGGGTTTAGAAAATGACTTATTTCGTTCTCATTACAGATTTTACCTGTTTGGTGAGCCCTACACAAACAAATCATATTGCTGCTTTTAACTTAGAGGTTCTGCCTGATGAGGCAAAAGACAGTGGTCTTTTTTTTTTTCCCCCAACGTCTGTAGCCCAGGAACAGCAGATGTGCAGGTCTGAGAGACAGAACTAAAAGTGTTTTGGCATGACAAAGCTATCAAATCGAGCATTTAAAATGGATATTTAGCAACTTGTGGCCACCTTGCTCAGTAGACAGGAAACATTTTAGGAAAAACATATAGCTCCTATTGGGGAATCAACAGATATCGATATTCACGGTCTCACCTCCGTGCCTTTAGCGGAGCTCCACATGCAGGACTCACAGGGAGGCATGAAGTGAGATTGCAACGTGGCGTCTCACTGGCTGGTGACTGCAGCTTCCAGATGCAGAAGTTGGTGTGTAAGTTATCAGTAAAGTACAAGGCTGATACCGATAATCGGAAATATGCCAAATATCGGCTCTAATAATCTGTCTAACCCTAGCTCCTATTGTGACCTACCATAAAGTGTTAATTTGAAATTAGCATTCAGCATAAAATTGCAACTGCAAAAATTAAAACAAACAGTAAATATGTAAAAAGATGAACCACACTACATTTTAGATCTGTGGTTTCCTTTGTTGTGCTCGGACTGTTCACTCAACAGTTACCATTTAAATATTTATTTCTAGCAAAAAAAATACAAAAGCGCAGAGAGTGGTGTCATCCATTACTGCAAAAACAGCTTTATTATCTAAAAGAGATGATCTCTGCACCCAAGCATAGACACGATCAGTGAACCAAGAGGCAGGTGAAAGACAACTATTGATTTATCTTCTGTGGAAAAATAAAGAGGGCACTTTTGCCAACATGTTTATGAAGGTTTTTTTTTCCTCCTTCTTTCAAGTGCAATGGGAGGGGGGAGAGGGGATATTTTATTTATTTATACCCAGTTTCCCCAAAAATAAGACATCCCCCGAAAATAAGCCCTAGTTTATTTTTGGGGGATGCTCATAATATAAACCCTACTCCGAAAGTAAGTAAAGTAGTCGCTAGTTCGCTAATCTATGTTCGGTGAATTTGAAATTTTCCTTGAACATAGATTAGCGGGATTCCATTCGCAAGTAAGCCAATTATGTTCGGGGAAGTTTTCCTGAACATAGATTCGCAGGACTCCATGCCTTTGTGAACTGGTCTATTCTCTGGTGAATTCCTACAAAAGTAGACCTGCTTTCTAACACATGCTTGCTACTGTTTTCCGCCGAAATAGGACATCCACAAAAATAAGCCCTAGTGTGTTTTTTGGGGGGGAAATATATATAAGACCCGGTCTTCTTTTTGGGGAAAGACTGTATGTAATTTATTTTTACATAGATAAAGACAACTGAGAAAACCATGGTTACATTTTTATTTTGAATAAAGAGTGGGGGGGGGGATAAAAAAGCAGTGCATGAACTTCATCATTCAAACTTTGATTTTTGTCTCCTGCCTTGGCCTCTGATATTTAGCAGAAGTAGGAGTCCCAGACAGACTGTAGCTGGGGCACACATAGCAATCGGTTCCTTCAAAATCAAAAGAGTGTAGATGGCACCTGAAAAAAGTAATAAAACAAAGTATACTAAGCCTAAGTGACAAGATGGAAAACATATAAACAGACACAAATACATTATAGTTAGGCAGACCAGCATGCATTATACAGGCACTAAATCATAAATTATAAAAGCACTTTAATCAATCATTATCACTATATACTGGAGGTCAAAACTTACATTTACAGCAATGCAAACATGCATATTTTGGGGAGACACACACACAAATTCTTACAAGCTCTGATTTCTAAGCTTTCTGCTAACACCATCTTATCACCAGTTTTCAGTGGAAACAGACAAGGTTAATAAGGGCCAGTCAAGAACATCAGGAATAGAGCACATTTAACTGCAGCTCATTTACTAACAGAGTGGCCATTCTGCATCAAGAAGATTATCTGCAGTGTGTTCTGTAATCCATTGTTTACTGCTGCCCCCTGCTGCCAAACGAAAACCAAAACATATCTTGGAAGTCTCTAATAAGGAATCTGCATGTCCTGCTATACCCATCAGATAAATGTTTAAACTAATAAGTAAATGAGAGCATGAACTATTTTAGTTATGAATACATTACACTGATTTTATAAGGCCCTTGTGCTAGGAAAAAGAAAACACACTTGGAAATTTAGAAAGCTTTAATTTGGTAAAAAAATAAAGATTGCATAAAATATCAATAATTCAAATTTTCAAAAAGGTTATAAAGTGCTTGGTTTTCATAATATAATGCATTCCAGGATTACCTACATTCATACATATTGCGCAGACAGCCAGATTGAACATTTGTTTATAATTATTGCTCACACGGCATCGCATTTTGGTGTCAGATTGGTGAAATTATTTCAATGCAACAAAATTAATACTTTGTTTAGGTTAGCGGAGATGTAGCACAGGAAAGAGCAAGTGCAGTCAACCTTCAGATCACCAACTCTACAATTCTTCCTATACTTATCCCAAATACCTTAACTTAAAGCAAAAAGAACAGCATTCTTCGTTCTATGAATAATGAATGCAGACACACTGACTCAATCTGTGACCTGGTCACATCACAGTCTACCCTAGACTAGGACCTGCTATCAACTCATTACAAATATAATTTAGTGGTTGCTGAGCTGCAGGTTATCTGCCCCAGGATTATTGGAAAGTGGGAATTGACATGAGAGGAAAAGTGTGAGTGAGCTAAGATAAGTATTTTCTTACCAATCATTACAACGCACAGCACAAAGTTACTGATTTCCCGCAGGATCTGGGGTCCCACCGCAAGCAGGATACCAGCCACAAGTTCCACCCAGCCCACTGCCTGCATGTACTGCAGTGGTTCTGGTTTGTAGCCCAATTCTTTTAAAGGGAAGACATCTGCAAACTGCACAAACTGGGATTTCTACAGAAAGTAAAAAAAGGGCATTTAGTAACAAATCAAACAAGTTACAGGTCAGTGAAATCAACATTAAGTCAAATTACTGTAATGTCCTCAGGAGGGGTCTAGGAAAACAGGACTATAGTTTAATTCATGCAGGTTAGTTACCCACATTACATGAACCTAACTCATGCGGTTGACAGACACTACGGTGTACTGCACACATACTATGAATATGTAGAGCAGGGGTTCCCAATTATTTTTTTCTGTGGTACCACTTGACATACAGCACCAACATTGTGGAATCCTCAAAAAGCTTTTACATCTTAGAGCAAACCTTTAATTAGCAGAATGTAATGCTTTCTATTAGCAAATTTAGATTTATGGTATACATACACATTCATTTCTACAATAGTAGTACTTAGGAGCAGATGTGATTTTGTGTGTAGAGTTGGTGTTTGTATATTTTAGAGTTAATACAGGGCTGTGTTTGTATGTAATGTTTGCATTTACGTTCAGTGGTGTGGTTGGATGTAGTGTTGGCTTTTAAAAATGCAGGTGTACATTTCTGTATAGTATTGGTTTTTGTATATAAATTTAGAGTTTGAATTCAGGGGTGTTTCTGTACATATAGATAGCAGAGGAGTATAGCTGGAAGTAGGATGTAGATAGATATAAATCACCTTTGGGTGCATCCCCTTAGATGATTTGGGGGTATATCCAGAACTCCCTTTCAACTGTTTGGTGGTCTCGCCACAATATGGAAGTCCGGAGTCAGGAAGTGTAAAAAATCTGTTTTATTTGTTTAAGTATAGAGAGAGAAAAAAAAAAAAATAAGTGCGGTCCTACGCATTTCGTCTTTTATAAGACTTCCTCAGGGACCCAGTTATAAACAAATTTATACAGATAAAATATCCTAACAAAAGGACAAAATAGCAGCATAACCCTTCCCTCCCAGGTCCTTCCTTATAGATGGCTTTCATCCATTCCTATTGGTGGTCCAGGGTGAGTCTTCCACGGTGTCTAGCTGTTTCAGTGATTCCCATAATTGATTTTCGCAGGTGAAATACCCGTATGACATCACTTCCAGTTTGTCACTTCCGGTGCTTTCCACCTTCGATAGTGGTCATATACTGATGTGAATATAATTGAGTCCTTAAAAAAATCGTAAGGCTCAAAGGATAAAAATTAAAAAAGAGAGACTAAAAGACAAGGCTACTGTATGGTGGCAACTCCCATGTTTAGAAATAACATACAATTAGAGGAGATAATAAAGAGAATAATATAATCCCTGCTTACATAAAAAAATAAATTAAAAAATAAAAAGATTTAAAAAAATTAATCACTTATATTATACTCCTTAATTATGATGTCTTTTGGTATATTTTGATTATAATTTAAGATACTAGGGATTATTGCCATGCAATTGCCTTAACAAACGTGAGACGTGTAAACACACAAACACTATATGAGTGGAGTGGGTATAGATGTTTAAAAAATTTAAAAAAAAAAAACAATTAAAATTATAAAATAGAGAATTACTCCAAGTATTAATTAACCTTTATATAAGATAGGTGGATGGTATATTTAAACAGCCTAGTAGGTTAATTATAAGCAGAGTATCCACAAAAAAGATTTTATTCATTAGAGACTGACCCTGTGGATATATTAGAGAAAACATATAATGTCTATGTTTGTGTTGAGACCACCTAGAGAGCCCAATTGTTGGATCCAGAAGGTCTACTGCTGTGTAAGGCTGTGTTTCTGTATGTAATGTTTGCAGGTGTTTGCATGGCTATGCATGTTGTACTGGTGTTTTGTTGTTGCTACACTGCTACATACATTCACACACATTAACAAATGTATAAACACACTGACACACACCAGGGCTAGACTAGGTATGCAAAGCAGCCCTGGAAAAAAAAAATATATATATGTATGCCAGCCCTATAAGTCATTGTGCCAC